CGTTTGTCTAGGAATGACTGGTGCCTCAGAGGGGCAACCTGCCAGAGCCCCTTCTCCATGAGGATGAAAGGCTGACTGGGAAAGACTTCCAGGGAATTGGTAAGAGCTGCCTAGAAGTCAAGCTTAATGGAGAGACATCCATAGGGGTGTTTGATGCTGTTCATCGGCCCAAATTTCATTCCCTTTCCTTCCGATTCCTACAGTAGCGCCTTCTGGGATGGTTGTTACCTTTTGGGCTTCCTATCACCTATCTCTTTAAACTTGTGGTCAGCGTCACGAAGGACATCCTGCCGTTCACTTTGTCGCAGAATGATTTATACTATCTTCTTGTGGTTACAGCATGCACAGAATTTTGGAGTTTTTCTCTTTTCTTATGTTTACTTATTATTCGTCCAAGCAGTATTTATTGAGCATCTACTTATATGCGCTAGGTATTCTTTTAAGCACCTGAGCCACCTGGAGTTAATACTCACAGAGAAGGGAGTGACAGACCAAATAAACCAAGTACGAAGACATCAAAGCAGGGTGAGGGGTGGAGAGTGACGAGGTGGGGACCAGGGTTACGCAGAGGCCAGGGAAGGCTGTCTGAGAGAGGAAGGAGCAGGAACCTGGGTGAAGGGAGGGATGAGCTATGTGGAATCCAGGGAGGAAGCATGCAGGTGCAAAGGCCCTGAGGTGGGAAGGAGGTTGGCATGCCTAAAGGCCAGAGTGGCTGGAGCGAAGTAAGCCCAGAGGCTCATTACGAAACGAGGTCAGAGACCCAAGCGGGACACAAATCACATCAAGTCGCATGAGCCACGGCAGAGCTTGGATCTTATTTTAAATATGATGGGAGACATTAGAGGAATTTGAGCAAGCAAGTGACATGACCTGGTTTACATTTCTTTTTTTTTTTTTAAGAAAATCATTCTTGCTGCTATGTGGACAGTCACCTACAGGGAACGGCTGCAGATGTGAAGGAGAGAGGATGCCGGTCGATTGGGGACGTGTGTCAAGGGTAGCACTGACAGAGCTCGCTGGTGACTGCGTGAGGAGTGACAGAGAAAGAGCCACACCAAGTTCGAGCACCAGGACTCAGCCTGGGCAAGCAGGTGTCGCGTTACTGCGTTGGAGAGACTTGCGGGAGGAGCTGGTATGGGGGATGTGTCGGGATACAGAATCAAGGATTTGGTTCTGCCAGACAGACATCCCGTGGAGACAGACATCCAGCATTGTGGTAAGATGTCAGGTGTGCAGACGCACATTTGGGCATCACCGGCATATTCACCATATTGAAAGCCACGGACTGAACGAGACCCTCTAGTGAGGGCTATTGATAGAGAACTCCAAAGACTGCGTCTGGTTAAGGAGTGAGGGAGGATCAATATTTAGAGATCAAGAGGCGAATGAGATTGAGAAGGAGCTGCACACGAAGTAGGAAAAAAGCTAGGAATGTGTGGTGTTCTAGAAGCAAGATTTCAAATATACATATTAATAGCAATTCAAGATGGAGAGATGCAAAGGGCTTCCACGGCATCAGTAACGTTCTCAGTCTTAACCAGGATGACAGCATTCTAGCCCTTCCACACTTTTTGTAGGAATAAAATATTTTATTTAAAAGAGTGTTTAAAGAAAAGAGTGATCAACTATATCAAATATCACCGTATTTGGCAAAAGGACATCACTGGTGATGAGGACAAACACAGCTCCAAGGGACAACCGAGCATCCGAGCCCCTCTGGGGTGGGCCGAAGAGGGAATAGAGTCCGGAAAGTGAAGACACTGAGCACAGGCAGCTCTTTTGAGGAATTCCACTACGAAGGGGGGCAGAGAATTGGGACAGAAGCTCGGGGGAGACCTGGAACCAGGGAAAGGTTTGGGGTGTATTCACTTATTTGTTTGAGGCTATTGTTGGGTCGGGTGAAATATTATAGCGTACCTCTAGAGGTGACAACCGAGTAAAGCATTGGTGGCATGTGTATGATTGATAGGCAGCTTCCTTATAAAACTACTGCATATAAGGTGGCGCAAGTGCCCAGATCCTAGCTCTGCATCACCTTGTTCCCAGCGGGACAGCAGGTGCCTAGGAGGCTCCTATCTGCCCCACCTTCCCCAGCTCCAATCAAAACCAATTTCCTCTTCTTCTGAGCACTAGTAGGAGACTAGTGCTAACCTGGTAAGCTAATTCCAGCTAATGCAAATTATGGCTTAATATGTTACCCTTCCCAGATAACATTTACTTTTTTAGAAGTAGCTTCAGGTCCTTAAATCTAAAGGAGTGAGTGTTGTGGGAACTTCGAGCCCTGGAACAAGCCACTAGGGAGACTGCAGGAGACATTAGCATCTCTCTGGGCCCCTCTGAGGTCACACATGGAAGCCCCATCTGCTCTTCGAGATCATCAAGTATATCTGGGCCAAGAGACACCAATGTCAAATCTTTCTCTAAAGCCAGCAGTTTTCTATCATGAGAAAGCATGCTTATAATGCACTTGGCTATTGCCTGTAGTACTCTAATATATGCAGATGAGATTCTTGTGTGCAATCAGAGTAAATCTATGACAGAGGTTTGCTTAATTTCCCCCATCAGCACCAGGAAATATGAGTTCCCTAAGGACAGAAGAAGAGGAGGCACCTGCCCATCACCAGCCTAGGAGACCTCTGCAGGGGACTGGCAGCCCTGCCCAGGCTGCTCCAAGGCCTTGGCTCCCAGGCAGGAGGGTATCAGGTAAGGTCTGCTCTGGCTGCCTTTGTGCTCCTGGGTGAAGTGGAAGGGAGACGTGGGCTCCCCAGAGGGCTCAGCTACAGAAAACAGTTCTGCCATGTGCCGCATAACTTCCACCTTGCCAGAAAACTCTGGGGGTATGTGAGTCTGCATCAGGAAACTAACTCTGTTGGTGTCAAGGTTTGTCACAAGAAGCCCAAAGCCTGAGGCAAAGATAGTAATGAAGACACAAACGATAGCTTCCCCTGACTTCTCTCCCCTTCCTGGGTCTGTGAATGAAACAAAATCTAGCCTTCCGCTCTTCCAGGCACCCGCCCTCCCACCCCAGAATGGAGAGAGGCTGCCCCTCGCTGCTCCAAAGGATGCAGACACCAGGACAAGGGCAGGATTACTGTCCTAGGAGCCCCCAGACTGAGAGAGACACAAACACCCACTGAGCAGCAGTCAGGGATGTGGTCGTGGAATGACACTGTCCACCAGGGCTCACAGTGACCTGAGAGCCCTCCATAAACGCTACCCATTCCTTCATCCATTCCTGCAGCCATTCATTTATTCTTTAGCCAGAGGAAACAGCAGGCAGCCGTGCTCCAGGACACAAGCAAGGACTTCCAAGAAGAGTGGGACACATCTGTCCCCCAGCTGGATGCTTTCCCTGCTGAACAATCAGGGCATTGGTAGCACTGTGAGGAATGTATTTGTCATTGGGGATTAACGCAGAGCCCACTATCTCCCTAGGAGGAGAAAGCAGAGAGCTGGGGGTGGGACGCCAGAAGCTCCCTTGCCGTCCCCCACCCCCAGACCAGTTGCCACGCTCCTTCTACAAACACAATGCTCTCCCGAGTTAATCTTCCCCTAAATGTCTCCATGCTTCTGGAACTTCAATTACAGCCCCCTCCACCCTCAGGCAGACACTGCCACTGTGCAAATGCAATTTAAATCATCACACACATTTCCCCTGTGCTTCCTCCTGCTGGGACTGTCTTCCCGCCCCTTTTTCCAGGGCCTCATTTGGCTTGTCTTGCTTTCCTTGTGCTGCAAATCAGCCTGGTGCAACGAGATTCCCTCCAGCGCACAGCCCTCCAAAGGCTCCCTGCATGTGCTGGTCTCAAGGATTCTCTGTAGTTTCTGATTTCCACCTCCCAGTTCTCAGCTGCCAATATTTGCTTGACATCTCTTTCTTGCTTTCTGCTACTCCTCAGGATTCAATGTGTCACCCTGTTCCCTGATCACTCGTTCCCTGAAATATGGACACACAACCATTCTCCATCTCGTGCAAAATCAAGGCACTGGTTTGCATCTCGTGCAAAAACAGATGCAGACGCTGGCTCCTCTCAGGTCTCAGCTCCAGTAGCCACAGGTCAGGCCCCAGCCCCTGACTTCACATGGAAGGGAGGTCACATACACCTCTCAAGTCTTCTTTTTCCTGGAAATGGAAGTTAGAGCATGAGTACCTACCATGTTTGTTTTACTTCCTTACTTGTAAGCAGATCAGCCTCCTAACTGCTGGTCACAGGATGCTGTAAGAGCTTCTAAATTGTTACAGAATTTAGAACAGGTGCCTAGGTACATCCTTTGAGGTACCTTCACTAGCTCAGGAGCCCCATAGGAAAGACAAAAGTGTTAATGGCCAGTTCTGCTTTGAAAACTCCTGCTCACACAGCTGGGCAAAAGCAGAAGAAGGTGACTCCACACTGGACAGAGAGACAAAGAGCCATGCAGACGACAATGCAGAGGAGGGCAGTGATGGGGCACCAGGCAGCACCCACAGACGGCACCAGCGTGAGCCGCTTCCGGCGGCTGCCTGCAGCACAGGGAGGCACACCCACTGTGAGTGGAACTGTGACCAAAAGTTCAGCACACGTCCCTGTGGCCCAATGATGAATGAGGACAAGCAGTTTGAGGAAAAGGAAAGAGAAGTTTATTAATTTGCCAACATATGAGGAGGATGGCAGACACTCATCCTAAAGTACCCACGTCCTATATATAAGCAAAAATACAGAGCTTTTAAAAAGGAGATTTCGGCTTCAGGCTATTGCTGTTGTTTAGCTATAGCATCTCCGGTGAAGACAATCTCCTAACAATTTCATTAACCCATTTCCTGTGGTATAGAGAATGAAGGATACTCCCCACCCATCTGATTACTGGCCGCAGGCAGGAATGCAAGTTTTAATTCTCAAAAGTGTGTGTGTGTGGAGGGGGGGGATGTTCCAGCAATGTGTACAGCTAGCGTTACAGCTCTTGTTACAGCTCTTATTCATTTGACTGGGGAAAAAAACGAGTGGCACACAAAGAGTTGGAGAACAGCCTTTATTCTTCTACAGCAGGCTCAGCACACCTAGTGTCACAGCTCTCTTTGCGTCTTCCGATCTTCTGACCCTTCCGCCCAGTCTGCTCCTGCTTTTATACCCTTGGTAGGGTTCAAGAAGCGTCCAATCACCAACAAGCTTTAACATCCAATCTAAAACAGTGGGATTCAATAATTACCCAATCAGGATCACGCAGCAGCGTGGCCGGAAACAGGCAGTGGCACTGTGGGCCTGGGGGCATTCTAGCACATGGGGTTCCAGCGGCTCTCTGCCTCCGGCCCCGCCCCAGTGGTTTTTATCCTCAAAATATATATACAGTTGGCCCTCTATATTCATGCATTCCACATCCATGGATTCAACCAGCTGCAAATCAAAAATATTCAAAAATATGGATGGTTACATTTGGACTGAACATTTACAGACTTTTTTCTTGTCATTATTCCCTAAACAGTAAAGTATTTAATATAAAACTACTTACATAGCATTTACAATGTACTAGGTATTATAAGTAATCTAGAGATGATTGAAAGTATAGGGGAGGTAGTATGCAAATATCATGCCTTTTATATAAAGGACTTGTGCTTCTGGGGATTTCGGTACCCACGAGGGGTCCTAGAACCAACCCCCCATAGAGACTGACAGAGGGCTGCATTAACTCCATTTGTGGCTTTATAGTGAGCTAGTATTTCAGGCCAACACTCCTGCTGAAAACAACTGAACATTCCAGAAAGATATCTATCTTTTCAAATCAGAGAAGACTTGATGGCATAGCAGGGAATTACCAGGCCAAAGTGTAAGTGAGACTGGAAACCCAGCCAGGGAAACAGATCAAATAAAACAGTCCTTGCCCTGAGGGTCTCTGTCTATCTCTGCAAACAAGCTTTACTCTTGACACCAAACTCCAGTGCCTCAACTGGGCGGAAGGGACAGGTATCATCTCAATATTTATCTGGGGATGCTTTTCACATAAAGCTGGGACCCCAAAACACAAAATCTTCAAAATAAAGGTGAACTAGAAGTAAACCTTTCCTGGCCACCCCTGTCTCTCACCATTACCCTCACTCCTTGGATACTAATTCAAAAGCTGTTTTGACACTAATCAGAAAAGTGGGGAAAAGGTGAAAACAGGAGCTTACCTGAGAAGTTACAAATACAAACAGCCTTTGAGCAGATTTGTAGTTGAAATCACTTGGTGGGGCCAAAAAAATATCCTCGGGGCATAGGTTTAATTTCATGTTGTTTTAGACTGGTAGGTAGTGCCCCAGGCATGCCACAGAAGTAAACACAAATCCTCTCTGAATTCACCTTCATACTATGCCTCAAAGGATCTCTTAAAATAATATTTATGAAGACAATGCCATTCGGACAATCAACAATAATAAAACAGATAAAGCAAAAGGAATGAGAACCAGCAGAAACAACAGAGAACAGAAATAGAGCCACAAAGACTTCAGATTTAGAATTATCAGGCTAGATTAAAATTCCATTACCCTTACTTTTGTTTAAAGAAATAAAAGGCCATTTTTAATTATCTTCAATAAATCTCTATAAGGAAGCTATAAAAAGTTATCACATCTTTTTTAGATAAATAGAATAGTCTAGGCATTCATTAGAATAAACAATGGATGGGTGTAACTCCTGACAAACATGGCTAAATGGAGAATTAGTGAACAAAATGGAGCAGAAGAAATGATTCAGAATACAGTACAAAACAGAGAGTTCCAGAAAGAGAAGGGAGAGAAAATAGGGGAATGGCAATACTTGAAATGATAATGGTAGAGAATGTTCCAGAATTAATCAAAGACATCACTACACAGATTTAAGAAGCCAAGCAAATCTCAAGAAGGATGAATAAAAAGAATGCACACCCAGTCCCAACACATAAGCTGAAGAAGAACAAAGAAAAGTTTTTTATTTTAATTGTTTGTTTGTTTTTTGAGACAGAGTCTTGCTCAGTTGCCTGGGCCAGAGTGCCATGGCATCAGCCTAGATCACAGAAACCTCAGACCTCTGGTCTCAATGAATACTCCTGCCTCAGCCTCCCAAGTAGCTGGGACTACAAGCATGTACCAACAAGCCCGGCTAACTTTTTTTTTTTCTATTTTAGTTGCCTGGCCAATTTTTTTCTATTTTTAGTAGAGACAGGGTCTCGCTCATGCTGAGACTGGTCTTGAACTTCTGACTTCAAGTGATCCTCCCTCCTCGGTCTCCCTGAATGGTAGGATTATAGGCTTGAGCCACTATGCCTGGACCAGAGGAAAGTTTTAATCCTAACGGATAGATTACCTCAATAGAGAAATAGTTACACTGAAAGCCAACTTCCCAGTAGCAACAATGACACCTAGAAGCCAGAATGGTATCTTCAATGTGCTGGAAAGACAGAACTGCCAATCAAGATCTCTATTACTGGCAAAAAAAATTTTTTTAAGTATCTTTTTTCAAAAATAAAGGTGAAATATAAACATCTTCAGACCAGCAGTATCTGAGAACTTGCCATCAGCAGATCTTAACCAATGAAAATTCTAAAGGATGCACCTCAGGGAGAAAGAAAGTAATGACATCTGGAACTGAGATTGAAGAAGAAATAAAGAACTAAGAACATAATGACTATTTCGGTAAACCTGAATATTGACCATATGGAACAATAGTATAATATTAAATGTCCCAAGGGATTTATTTTTAAAAAGTATATGACAACAATAATATATAAGCCAGAAGAACAAGAAGGGAAAAACCTTAGAACAATTTAAGGTTCTTATACTAATCAGAGGGAGACTAAAGATATTAACTGCAGACTTTGATGAGTTAAGTACATATATAAAGATTTCTACAGTAAATACCAAATGAATAGAAACAGTAAATATTTCCAAACTAGCTGAAATAAAAATTTCAAAAACTTATTAAAAATACTCCGTAAGTCCAAAAAATGAAAGAAAGTAGTGTAAAAAAAACACAACAGGTTGAACACATAGAAACTACAAAATAAGGTGGTAGCTTTTAACGCAAACATATGGCTAAATGCATTAAATCTAAATGGACTGAATGCTCAAATAAAAAACAAAGGTAGTCATACTGGATTAAAAATAAAAACCCCACTAATCATTTTTGCAAAAAGCACATAAAGACACAAGAAAGTGAAAGTAAAAAGTAGTATTTATATAGGTATTTGCTTACTAATTATTCAATAAACTGAACATATGTATTTTCTAAATCTCTTAATTATTTTTATTGACATTAAAATTATATGTATTTATGGTGTACAACATGATGTTTTGATACATGTATACATTTTGAAATAGCTGAATCAGGCTAATTAACACATGAATTATTTCACTGTCTTGTGATGAGAACATTTAAAATCTACCCTCTTAACAATTGTCAAGTATACAATACATTGTTGACGTGTTTTATATAACAATAAAAACTTCTTAAAGCATATATTTAAATGTTTCTAATACTTAAAGGTAATCAGTAACATAATTTAAAATAGGACACATTTTCCAAATCATCGAAGAGTATAAAAGGATATAAAACGTATTTCATACAGCTTAAGATAGAAAACAAAGAAAAAGCAAAGAAGCATTAAAATGGGAAGCATAAAATAGCTGGCAGATAAAAAAATAAATCAATCATGAAATAAATCTAAGGAGTTTAACTACTCTATTAAACTATTCTCCAATTGTGCTACAAATTCAAACCCTACAATATGTTACCTACAAGAAATAGACATAAAGCAAAATAGCAAAAAAAAAAAAAAAATGGTACACATAAAAGAATGAATAAAGATTTTTCAGGCAAATGCAAAATAATGCAGCACAGAATTGGCAATGTTAAATTCTGAAAGGTTTTTATTCCAAGCAAAAAAGCATTCAACAAAACATAAAATGTCACTTTATATTTACAAAAATTACAATCCACAATGAAAATATAATATCCATAAATTTTTATATATCAAGTAATTCAGCAAATAAAAAACAAAACTTGTTGGAAACACACAGAAAAATTGATATACATAATTGTGGAATACTAAAACACCCACTCTTGATAGATTAAGAAAAGAAAAATAAGGAAAGATATAGAGGACTTGAATAATAAAATTAATAGGATTGAATAAAAATACATCAAACAATGTTCCTCATGAACCACTAAATATACCTTCTTTTCATGTGCCCATGAAACAGTTACAAAGTTGATATTGAGCTACAAAGAAAACTTCAATAAGTTTCTAAATGCATGTATTGTATAAGCAACATTCTCTGACAACACCACAAAGCTAGTAATTCATAACAAAATTCTTTAGGTGAAAAACCTGGAAAACTAAAAACATTTCCTAAATTAAACATCTCAAAAAGAGTAAATTAAAAGTAAATAATCAGAGATACACAGATGTATGTATACAGTATTACTTATATTAGTGGAAAATTTGAATTAGCTTAAAATTTTGATGCAGAAATATGGTCAAAAAATATTATTGTGCTTCTATTAGGAAGCTGAGAGGAAGTTTTTCTAAGAATTTTATTATTGTGAGAAAAAAACTCATGATATTAAATAGTTAAAGAATGGTACTGAGTTTACATATATATTACACACCATAATAATTATTATAGAGAACATTAAATATGTGTACATATGTGTAGGACATAGAACAGAGCCTACAAGGAAACACAGTAAGATCCTGACCCACTAAATATTGCTGGGTTATAGAATTACAGATGATTTCTGCTTGTACACTTTGCTCCATTTTTTATTATAAATATGTATAATTTTTATAATTAGAATAGGGTATGTGTTGTGATAGAACAAAATAAAGAAATATGGCTGTACTGTCTACCAAGAAAAGAGTAAATCTTCCTATCTTATTATTACTTGCATATACTACTGGGGAGGGGGGGAATGTTTGCACTCATTTCAAAGGATTGTCATAAAGTTTAAGTGAGATAGTATATGTAAAGTCTTTAGCTTGGCAAATTAAAAATTGCTAGCTATTATGATTACCTATTCCTTTGTATTTTTTATCTTATTAGCTTCCTGTTCTGCATTCTAGGTGAATCCCTCAGTATAATCTTTTAATTCACTAATTTGCTCTTCAACTTATTCAGGCCAGAATTTCTCTTGTCACTATGTTTTTTTCTTTAATGAAAATAAAATATTTTTTTATTCATGGGATTTCTACTTAATCCTTTTTTAGAGTTGTTTTATTTCCTTTCTGCCTCTTGTTTCAAATATTCTTATACTTTTTAATGATTGATGTACCATTATTTCTTTAAAGATCATAAATAGATTTATTTTTAAATCATTTTCACATTGCTGTACCAGTCTCATTTCATCTACAGTGAACTCACTGACCATGTGTTTTTGTTATT